TCCGTCATATTTTACAGGACGCTATCGAATCAGGATGAATCACGTTCAAAGATAAAAAGAAAATGGCGATAGATGAAAATCCTTTCCCATAGCCACTTGAAGTGAATATGGTGACAACCAATTTTAAAAATAAGTTGCCAAGATTCAAGTTGGTTATCGATGATGAGGAAGAAGACTTTGAGCCACATATCAGCGTATTTGAACGTATTAAAGGGAAAGAACCCATGAAGGACGAAGATGTTTTGTGCTCCAGGTGTGAAGGAGAAATAAGAGTGAATACTGAGAAACCAGGAATATGGCAGTATCACCATCGCCCTGAGTTTATCCCAAACGCTCAGCCTGTTAGGAAGCAAGGCACATAGTTCTATAAAGGACCGCCTCTGGAAAGACAGTTCAGGCCAACAAAGCATGAAAGATCGTTTAGGCCATAGCCTCGCCAACCGAATGTGTGGTACTCATATCAGTATAATGCAGGACGAATTGTACCCTTTAATGAAATGTTCAGGACTCAGCAAAGACGATTTCAACGGAATTATGGATGAATGATGAGTCAGCAACAAGAAATGCCACGTCCTAAAGCGCCAAGAGTGCTGGAAATAGCTAATCAAAATACTCTCGAAGATAGTGAGGAGACTGGCACAGGGGAATCAATGGAAGAAATACCAGAAAGTTCTTCTGGGAGATCGAAGTTTGAACGAAGTAAAAGGGATGAAGAAGATACAGAACCATCCCTTACTATCCAGTTCGGTACCTTGCCTCTTGTCATAGCTAATAATTATATGTTAGCCAATGAATTCAAGAATAAGGAAAGCGAAAGGGAGGAAGAAGGAGGGGATGAGGAAGAAGCATGTGTGCTGGAATGTGAAAGTGGTCAGACGTCCCGAGAAATACATGACAAAGAGGATGATGATATGACTGATATTGAAGAAGAAATCGATCTGGAAGAAGAGAGGCGAAAGAGAGGGGTATCGCGCAATACTTTGCTGAAACAATTGCATCGGGAAGGGGTTCGTGAGGTAGACTTGTTGGGAGAACCATCTGAACGTT